CAGGGCCGCTGGGCCCAGGGCGAGCGCTGCCCGGCGCCGGGGGCGAGGCCGTGACCCGCTCTTGTGCCCGCAGGTTGCCCGTCCTTTCACGAGCTGCGTGTGGTAACACAAACGCGGATTCCATGTCTTTTCTTGTAAGTAAACCCGAACGGATTAGGGTGAGTGTTGAACACCTTCCAGCTTCCCTCAGACGCCGGCGGGTCGGTAGAGCCTGGCTTGCGCTTGTGCTGAGGAGCCGCGGCGGGGCCGGCCTCCTGAAAAGCACCTTAAAGTCACATTAAAATGCTGTAATTATTCGGTAGGGTCTCGATGTGCACGCTAGGTGCTAGTTAAAAAAAAAACAAACTGCGTTGAAGTATTTATTGCTTGCACACCTGCATCTCCTTTGTGTGCAGTGCAAGGGGTTTGTAATGAGCGTTGCAATTAAGAACAAGTGTGGTAATGCTGGCTTATTTCATACCTTTCTTTAAGAAGTTACTGCCTCACGTGTGTCACACCAACACTGGTTTCCGTTTGTGGAGGGTTTTTTCTAAACTTAACGTAGCTTGGAAAGCTGAACACAACAGCTTTGCTAAATTCTGCATTTTTAAATGAAGCTTCATGTGGAAAAGAAACACTTTTAACACCTTAAAATGGCATTGTTATATGCAAGTTTTGACTAGCTGGTGCTTTCTAGGATTGGCTTCCCTTGCACTAAACGACATAAGCTATTTTTTCAGTTATTTTACCAAGTAGACAAATTCTAGTATGGGAGTGTTTGTGATTGTTTGTTTAATGCTAGCTTCATGATCAATACTTTGCAAGACTAAAATTGCATATTCTGTCGTGTGTTATGTGTGCATGTGTATGTATTTTTCTTTGAATCACAGAGTTGAGTAGAGTGGTAGAAATATTTCTCTGTACAACCTATGCTTGCTGTGAATTTTAAGCATGAGTTCTGGAAGAGAACAACAACTTTAAAATATTTGTTCTAATTTTGCCTTCAGTCAATAGATATATAGCCAAAATATAGAAGTTCTCTGAGACTTCACCTCATTGTAAATAGTTGAAGCTTTTTCTACATCTATTACACCCAAGCAAACAACTTTTATTTGCCTATATAAGGGGGTTGTAGCATGCTTATTATTTTTGTTGTATGTGCATGTATAAAAGTTCTTGTTTGAATGATCTGAAATTATGTTAACTTTATTGCAAGTGCATGCTGGTCAGGAAAAGTAGTAGCACTTGTGTGGTAGCTCAGTGCATGCCACGGTAGTGGCACAAAACCAGAATACCCTTGTCCAAAGTAAGGATGTAACTCTGATGTTGCAGATAATCCTTGAGCGTTATGATTCTCTCACAGGGTTTTTTTTGTGGGGGAGGGGGGAAAAGAAACTTGTCTCTAGATGGAATAACTAATTATCTGAGGGATTTTTTTTTTTTTTTTTTTTTTTTTTTTCTTTTAGCGGTGGGTGTCTGAAAAGTTCATTGTTGAGGGCTTAAGAGAGTTTGAACTGTTTGGAGGTAAGTTTTCCTCTCATTAGATGATGTTATTAGAAATGTTTTATCTTAGCTGCAAGGTCTGTTAATGCGATTGTAAATACATATCTTAGCAGTAAGAGATTAGTAAATCTGATTGTAGCACCAGATCTGGTTATTCAAGCCAGCTAACCTTATAAAGTTAATATGGAAGTGTCCGAGATCCTGCAAGTTATTTCGAAATCCATTTCATGTTGATGGAGTACTGTTTTCAGACCCTGCACTCTAGTTCTTAGTGTAACCGCTTTTTCCCTATGCAAAAGATAGATTTGGGGCTTGGGAAGGTTAATTATAATTTTCCAAGTAAAGATGGAATTTGAAACTCCGATGGTGTGCTTGCAGGAGAGCTGATTGGTTTCTGTTCTGCTTTATGCATAATGAACAGAATTATCCATTAGGATGCAGAATTCTTGATCAGTGACATAGAAGGTGGTCAGAGCATAGGAAAGATGTCTAGATCTTGAGCTTCGGGGTGGAGTAGAAGAATTTTCACTGCTTCAGATGAACTTCAGATAGTTTCTTCTGTATTTAAGTGAAGTAGATAGGTAATTTTGGAATGTGTTTAGAGGTAATAAAAATTGTCACATTTGTGCTGAATATATGAACAGTAGTACTGTTTGAATCTCTTTAATTCCCATACGTGCACTACAATTAGATTATTTTTAGTGCTGCAACCTTATGTGTAAATTAAATGTCTTTGTCTAAAAAAAAAATTGTATATATTTGGTATCAAAATGTGTCATACAGGGTTGTTTACTCAGTTTTCCAACTATATTTTTAATTGGGTATCTGTTGAAAACAACATGGTGAACAATTAATTTTTTTACTCCAGAGCAGCCTCCGGGTGACGCTCGGAGAAAAGTAAGTGACTTTTGCAGGCTGTGGTGCTGTGGCTCATTGCATGGAGATTATTCCTTGTGGAAGTTTGATTTTTCTTTTTATCTTGGTTATGTATTTCATCTCTATATTTAGCTCTACAAGTGTGGAAACAGGTTTCACCCTGGAGTTGAGATTTTGGTGTGTGGTTTTCAAACTACATGTGACAAGTCAAAAAGTCAAAACTTTAAACTTAATCCCTTGGGTTTCTATTTGTGTCGTTATCCCCCAGCCCCCCAAGGGTCTCTTTTTTTTTTTTTGAGATGACTTAGATCTGATTCTTCAGAGATGCTAGTCTCTTATCACATTTTTTTAGAATAAAAGGAAGAGGTTAGTTTATGGAACTTCTGAAAACTAAGCCAAAAAATTATGTTGGCCATTCAAAACCAGTGTTCCCTTCTGAACATGTTGATTCTGATGTCCTTTCTCTTCCCTGTAGAGTAGCCACAACAGAGGCTCCAATGTCAAAACCAAGCATCGTGTAATTTTCCGTTTGAGGTGACTTTACCTCCTGTTGTCTGGTCATCTTCAGAGACAATTCCATGTGTCCTTGGAGAGCTTTGCCTCCTAAAAACTAAAGTCACTTGCAAACATAGAATGTCTGTTCAAAAACATACAGAATGTGGCAGTTGAAAACCTTACCTTGATGCTTTTTGTTCTGCAAGCCCTGTTTGCACACTATCTCGTTCATAATGAACAATGCTTGTAGAATAACACAATTTATGATAGAATATATTTGTCTAAATGATTTCCCACCTACCCACACCATATTGAAACATTTCTGTGTGCAGTTGTTGCTCTAGTTTAAGCTAATTACAAACAGGAATTAAGTGTGATTTGATTGTGTGTCAGTTCAAGCTGCTTATAATTGATTTTTGTGCCAGTGTCTGTAATTTACTGACACAAAGCTGAAAATATGAGATGCATATGGAATGCTTTGTATAAAGTCACGTAAATTCACACCTTTTTTAAATTGCTGAGCATTATGCATATGCTGGACTGGAGGCAAATTGAGATTAGCATCTGGTTTGTTCTTGTTAAAAGTATTCACTTGGGGTTTGGTCACCCCTGCAGTGGTATTGCTGACTCTTATTTTGATTTTTTACATCTACATAAAAGCTTACTTTTTCCAGCAGGATTATAGAAAAAGGTAAATTATTTGGGGAGAGGGATGGGAGGAAAATTTTTGTTGCTCATGCTGAAAGTGAGTGAGGGAATGAGGAGGTGGAGAGGAAGGCAGCAGAACAGAAACAACACTCCTACTTCCTAATTCAGATAAACGTCATTTGGCAAATGCAGATCCTTGCTAGCGCATCCCGTAACTGAGCTTCTTATGGCATTTATAACAGTAGTTGCCTTTGAAAGATTAATTTCCTTAAACATATCTTAAATTAAAAGCAGATCAACAAGCCAGAAAGCTAGCTCTTAATGAATGTCATGCCATAAAGCTATTCCTATGTGACTTCATTTTGCAGCTGCTTTTGCTTTTGACCATGCACCAAAAGTTGTCCTGTGTGAAACCACTGAGGAGCTTTTTTGCGGTATTTCATGAATGACATTTCAGTTTAACTTTAAAAAAAAACAAACAAACTAAGCCTCTTGTATGATGTTGATAAATTTGTGGTAGAGCTCCTTTTATGTTAACTCTCAGTTATTGGTCACTGCTAACATGGAGAGAGGTGAGTGCAGACCTTTAAAGAAGTGAAGACTTTTAAAAAGGGAATTTACAGTATTTTTCCATTACTGTTGAAACAGCCTACACCATTAATAAGATTACATTTATGTAATTTTTGCACCTGTTTTGTTAGCTTATGCTATATCTGGAGTGGACTTTAATAAAGCAAACCACTTACATATTGCTCAGTGTTTCACAGCTGTCATTACTCCATAACGCTGCTTATCAGAGCCTCCTGCTTTCATTGCCTTGGTGGTGCCTTTCTGCTTCAGAGGTTTCCATCTGCCTGTGTCTCTCCTGGCAATCTTGCTGTTGACAGGACTTTGTGAAATTGCTGGAAGAAGCAATGAGTGGTACAACCGAGATCAGAATTGACAGGAATCTTAAACAGAAGTTTGAAATTATGAATGGAAAGTTGCTGCCTATTCTCAGCCAAGAAGCAGCACTGTATAGTGTTAGGACTAGAATAAAGGATTTGGGGCTGCTGAGATCTCAGGGGTTAGCTATCCTGAAACAGGACTGAGTTGATGTGCTGGAGTTGGTTGAGCTGATATTATACCATAGCACTCTTCACAAATCTCTTGCCTTTTCCCTTAACTGAAAAATACACCTATTTTAAAGGTAGGCAGAGAGGCGTAAAATATGTGCTGTTCAAAGTCAGTTGAAAAGGTGGAACTTGGGAAGCGTAACTATTAGTTTACTCCCAAGTATACTTAAGGACCCAAAAGTAATTTATGGCAAATTCACGCCTGTGCTTATTGCACTACGCTTTCCCTGGGCTGAGTGTGGAACGAGAAGTTCCTTGTTTTTCAGCTGTCACTGTGTTGTTTCTGTCTTTCAGTGATGGAAAAAAGGAGTGTTTGCTGTCACTCTAGGAAAATACACAAGCCTTTTATGCTTCATATACCAAGAGAAAAGGTCTGATAAAGGGCATTTGCCAGTTGATGAAGAATGAGGTGGAAAAAATGAGCTGGAGTTCCAAATGTCAGGAGGAGTTAATGTGCTGGAAATTTGAGATAACTAAATCTGATCTTAGACACCAAAGAAATTTAGTTCCTCATTAGGATGCTCTCCTTGAGACTTTGGAAATTTGAGGGAGCTGGAAGGTATAATGGAACTTGCAAGAACATTGAAGTTTGTCTTCTGCAAAATTCTGCTTGGAAAGATTTATGCCTGTAAATAGAGCAGATAGCTTTATGTCAAATGTAGTGAAGAAAAGCTAACAGGTTTGGGAGTGCTGCTTCCTCATGTGGTGTGGAGTGTTTTTACTTTCATTTGTAGCTTCTCCTTTCATGTGTGTCTGATCTTCATATCGTGGGTGAAGTTGGTTCATCGCTTCTACCATTCACCTAAGCAGCTTCAGCTGCACTGGTCTTCTCACAGATGAGCTGCTGAAAACCAGAAGCCCTAGCATCAGACAGGAATGCTGACTGCCACAGTGCAGAGAAGTGCTATAAACAAGCTTTCCTTTGGCCTTTGCACAGGCAACAGGATGGTGGCACAAAAGTTTGTAATTAATGGGAGAAAGGTAGTTACTGTTAAGCAGTGCTTAAGCTGTCCTGGGGAATAGTAATTGGCTTTATCCAAATATTCCTAAAGAAATTCTAGTTTACAGTAATTAAGAACCTACCTGTTACAGTTACATGTTTTGAAACACGGATATCTGGATCTTCTGAAATGAGGCATCTCATGGATTTCAATTGATAAATAACTACTTAAAATTATTTTAACAACAATTAAATTGTCTCTTCTATATTCAGTATTGTCTTATTATTTTGAGATGTATGATAATATAAGGAGCAGATGATTTTTCTAGCATGTGATCTTTATTTCTTTTGACCTGACTTTATTTTTCCACCCCCTCCCCCAGACCAATGAGGCGAGCTCCGAGTCAATAGCTTCTTCCCCTAAAAGGGACACCATGAGCAACTTTCTACCAGACAGCAGCTGTTACGAGTTGCTCACTATCATAGGTAATACTACTAGTGGGCTGGAGGATCAGAAGTCTGCTTGCAAAGAAAATAACCTCTGCATATTTGTTAGCCTTTCCTTGATTGATTGCTTATTTTTTACATTAGGTGCTTGTCCTCTTTGATTTTAAAACCATTTTAATAAAAAATGAGATGCCAATCTTAAAGGCTTTTAACTGAGAGAGGCATGTGGTGGGTCAATGATACAGAGTGAAGTACAAAGTCAGCAGAAGCAGCCTGAAATCTGTCCCTGGTGGGGCTGTGGCCTAATCATTACATTTCTACCTCAGTTCTGAACTTGAAAGACAGGATAATGTTACTGGCTAGGAGGATTTCTCTTGGTGGGATACATGCCAAGGAAGGTGGTATCTTTCTCACAAAAATAGTTTCAGTAAATGAGTGTAACCATTATTTAAGGGTCAAGGACGGGAGAACTTCTCTAGAAGTGTGTGGTTCCAGAAATATTGCGGAAGCTTTAATGCGTTTTCTTTCAGGCAGAGGCTTTGAAGACTTGATGGTTGTGAACCTGGCCAGGTATAAACCCACGGGAGAGTATGTCACAGTCAGAAGAGTGAACTTGGAGGCCTGCACAAATGAAATGGTCACATTCTTGCAGGTAATGTGAATCCACTAATACCATAATGCAAGTTTAAGAGAGGACAGACAGCAAGAGCAGTGCTTATCAATACTGTATTCATATTTCTGTATTTACTAAATTGAATCAAAATACCTTTTTTTGATTTCAGGGGGAACTTCATGTTTCCAAGCTCTTCAACCACCCTAACATCGTGCCATATAAAGCAACTTTCATAGCTGACAATGAGCTATGGGTAGTGACGTCTTTCATGGCCTACGGTAGGTGGAGAGGCCATACCTTTGTATGACCATCGTATTCTGTGAAATTAAGTTTAAGAGGTGAAGTATCCTTCTGGGGTGTTTCTTTTTTTCTGACCGATTAAGAGGTGTTTTGTTTCTTTCTAGGTTCTGCAAAAGATTTAATCTGTACCCATTTTATGGATGGCATGAGTGAACTGGCTATTGCATATATCCTCCAAGGTGTTTTGAAAGCACTTGACTACATCCACCATATGGGCTATGTACATAGGTATTTAAAAAAAGAAAAAAAGCAATGCGTTTTCCTTCTGTTGGATGTTCTCAGAAATACTACTCATCGTTATAGAAGAGCGGATAGTTCAAGAAATGCAGAACACATTACCAGGTTTTGTAGTGCTTTGCTGTGAGAGCAACTCAGTTTGATAGTCATGGGAAATCATATCACTGATCTTCCTAAACTGTGAAAGTGTCGCTGTGGAACAAACTTAATCTAAAGACCACTGTGTATGTAAAATCAGAACTGCAGCTCATGTTGACAGGCTGACTTGTTAAGGCTCTGTTCAGATACTATTGATAGTCTCCAAATTGAGACTGACAGTGGTGGTGGGCGGAGATTTGCCCTGTTACTGCTGAAGGTCCTGGGTCCATAACCTTTAGTCCTGCATTTCTCCTCGCCACAGAAACATTCTTTGGGAACCTGCAAAGTGGGTGAATAGAGTCCTGTTAATGTTTGTAGAAGTGGTTTTGCACAGCATTCAGAATGGTCATTAGGAGTGTTGGCCTCCTGATAGGAGGCTGATCAAGTATTGCCCTGTGCATTGAGCCGTCCGGTAGAGTAGGCTTTTATCCTTTCAATAGCTGCTCACTAAGTATGAATTTCTCTTTAGTACAACAACTTCTTTTAATCTCTTTCTAAATCACTGTCTCCATCCCTTGGCATATTTTTCCTTTTCTCTGATACATTCTCCTGTTGTGAGAGTAAATTACAAATGCTGAAATTCTAGGTTGTTATTGGTTACTACTTTTATTGTATGTACTGTAAAAGAAATTCAGCTTACTTATGCCTGCTTTAAATCCTTTGCAGTGCCTTTTCGGACTAAGCCTTCCTGGGAAAGCTGTAAGGAACATAACTCCTTTGTGGCCAGAGAACCTGACTGTTTTTACTGTTTTTTTCAGGAGTGTTAAAGCCAGCCATATCCTGATCTCTGTAGATGGGAAGGTGTACCTCTCTGGCCTGCGAAGTAATCTAAGTATGATCAACCATGGACAGCGACTCAAAGTTGTTCATGACTTTCCCAAATACAGCATCAAAGTCCTGCCTTGGCTCAGTCCTGAAGTCTTGCAGCAGGTGTGTTTAAAAAAAAAAAAAACAACTGCTAGTTGTTAGTGCTATATGATAGCTCTGTATAATTTTCTGAGTTCTTATGGCATGTTTGGGGCGGGGGACACACATGACATGACAAAAGCAACAGGGTCACTTTTTCTTGTGATGAGCCCTATCCTTTTTTTCCTTCCTTTTTACCTTAAAACCAGTGACCCCTAGCAAGGGGAAACCTGTGTTCCTGTCAAAGGAGCAATTGCTGAGAAGCCCATATTAAAACGTCTTTTCTTTCACTCCAGAGGAAGGTGTGCGAATGCAAGGAAAAGGAAGGGGAGTGGCTGGAGGAAACGGATTCAGGCACAGGGCGAGTGGGTAGAATTTGAACTGATCTATTTGACTGAACAGTTTTCTTGTAGGTACATGTACAGGTTCTCCCATTAACAAAGTGTTACCTTAGATACCAGTTACCCTAAGGTGGATGCCATCCCTACTAGCTAGCTGATTTCAGTTAAGTAAATGTTGCCCTTAACTGTGTGTTTTAACAAACAAAAAACCCACCACCACCAGCCTATATGTGGGTTGTACTATCTGTGCTCTAATCATTTCGCTTTGCTGTTCTGCGTATCAAATCATGGATATTGTCCATGCAATCACATGTAACTCCACAAGGCTAATTTTTCTTTTCATCTAGAATCTCCAGGGTTATGATGCAAAATCTGACATTTACAGCGTAGGGATAACAGCCTGTGAGCTGGCAAATGGACACGTACCATTTAAAGACATGCCTTCTACTCAGGTAAGGTTTAAAAGCTGTTCCTTTCCTTTTTCCATCCTGGCACATGGAACTGCTTTGCTGCACTGGGGTGTGAAGACCAAAGGGTGCCATGCCTACCTGAATGAGAAATCTTAATTGTCTAGTCTTTCTTTGTATGATGTTGCTTATGCCTCTTATCTTCCAGATGCTCTTGGAAAAGCTGAATGGAACTGTTCCCTGCCTTCCAGACACCACCCGTTCAAGTGCTAACTACGGGATGGGTGAGAGCATGACCATTAGCAATGTGAGAGCAGCCAACGGAGAGCCAGCCCTGCACCCTTATCTTCGGACCTTCTCCACCTACTTCCATAACTTTGTAGAGCAGTGCCTCCAGCGGAACCCTGATTTCAGGTAAAGCCAGGTGAAAGCTGCTCTTTGCAGACCTGCGCTATTCTAGGGCAGATTAAACGGAGAGAGCCAGTGGAGGTTTCTGAAAGTTTTCTTTCCAAAATTGTAGTGGAGTGAGGGTGCGCTCCATACATTGAGAAGAGCAGTCCAAGTAAGTAAAACAAGAGCAATGTTAACACTTTGAGCACTTCCTATAAGAGAGCCTGAAGAATTTGCAACCTTCTTTGGGGGTAGAGTGGTGCTAAACATCAGGAAATTAAACTGAACAACTTCAATTTCTGGTCCCTGTGAGACACTGTTTACCTAGTTTCCTGCACTGTGAACATTTGCCATTCGGCCAGCAGAGAATAACCATGGGAAGTGATCAAGAACTGTACTTTCCTCTGTAGTGAGTATAAGGTTGTCTTTAGCCATGACAAATCTATCTAGCGTACCATACTGTTCAGAACTTTCCCTTGACCAGATGTTGGGATGTGCAAGTAGGTAACTTGAATAAGGTTGAACTGCTTGCATAAAACATCACATGAACATAATAAACAGTGCTACTGGTTACAAAAGGGAAACATCCTGTAGCTGAGCAGTGAGAGAGGCAGGAAGGACCCTGGTCTTTTCTTCCACTACCTGACTTTAAACATTGACACGTTCTCTTGTGTGCTTACTTTATTCTGACTCCCTTCTACAGGCCAAGCGCAGGCACTCTGCTTAATCATCCCTTTTTCAAGCAGGTAAGGAACTCATTTAAAGATAAAGAACAGTGGCTTTCTTGTAGTTGTTGTCTTGCTGTGTCACTGAACCTGAGGGTAGGAACGTAGAGTTTCTGAATTTTCTGTGATCTGAAAGGATTGTTAGTTTGGTGACTAGTTGTAGTGCGGCTTAGCGATCCTCACATTGTCCTTCAGAGGTTGATAAGCTGTTCTCAAAGCATCTCTTCCTTATTAAAACAGAGGATGTAAATCTGCCTCTCCTGTATGCCAGTTTTTCATCTACAGACTATTGAGTACTAGGTCAAGGCAGTCCTAACCTCGTCCTTAATGAGACCAAACTGAAGTGACCTGTGCATCGGTTACGGCTGTGTTGCAGGTTGGCATGGTCCAGTCCTGGCATGGGAAGAGGCAGAGGCTCTTCTGCCCCTGAAATGATTTGGCTTGCTCTGAGCTGAGGGTTAGGATGGTACTTCACTGAGGGAGACATCAGGACCATACCACCCAAACGCTGCTGAAAAAGGCTGCATGCAAAGCACCTTCTTGTTACAAGATGCAGTGCAAAAGCCCTGTGCATCTCTGTGCAGGCAGGGCAGGAGGATAATACTGTGTTCTTACCTTCTGCCTGTAAACACACATTGTTGCTGCTTGACTGTGACGCGTAAGTGTGGGGAAGCATTTCAGCAGCTGAGTTCTCTCCCTTCTGTGCAGATCAAGCGTCGTGCTTCTGAAGCGCTCCCTGAACTTCTGCGCCCCGTCACCCCAATCACCAATTTTGAAGGAACATGGCCCCAGGACCCCAGTGGCTTTTTTGGGCTGGTATCAAACCTGGAGCAGCTCGATGTGGATGACTGGGAATTCTAAAAAAACCAGGGACTATACGTGGTTCTGGCAGAGCTTTCTGGACATTGCAATTTATTGGTCCTGTTCATAAAAGGTGATGAATGTTACACATACAAAAGTTTACAGGTCCTTGGGAAGAAACTTCAACTGCCTCTTTACTTAGGAAGTAGCCTGGAAACAAACGGACAGACCTGAGCTGGAAAAGGATCAACCCCAAGGAACTGTGAAGTATTCCAGATGGTGTAGTGCCCAGAGCCCCAATTCTTGCAGCTTTCCAACTCAAATGGGTTGAGTGAGTCTGTTTAGTCTCTATTTACGTGTTTCTAAAAATCACTGGCTTCCTTGTATCACAGTTGAAGGCTGCATGTCCCTACCCTCTTTGGTTCTTTCTCTTTTAAGGGTGCCTTGAGTTAAGAGGAGACAGGCAGCTCTTAAGTTTTGGGCGTTCTCTTAGAGCTACTCAGATTACTGTTACAGCGTTGCCACAGGGTAACTTCTGAGGGCAGGGAAAAAAGGGATTATGTTCTTAAGTTCAGTCACTGTTTTGTGAGAAATCGAAAACAACGCTATTCTGTTCGAGGCACACTTGCTGCATCCAGGTATTCCTGTGCAGCGCTGGGTTCTTCTCTTCCCTTTCTGGAGAGAGCTTTTGAAGTCTCCTCTCACCTGATGCTGAGCAGTCTGAACTCCAGGCCAGACAGGGCATTCCAGCCTCTTCTCCCATGGCTGTCTGGGTCACCATTGCGTACACCTGTTCAACGTACCAGCTTTTTTATCCCCACAGAGCATCTAGCGGAGCCTGCTGTTAGCTGGGCTTGTTTAATGGCACGTAACACTCCTACCAGCTTGTTCTCAGTGACTTACCCTAGCACAGAGGAAAAGTAAGTTGACTTTCACGCTAAATCCTCTTGCTCACAATTCCTCTCTGAGCATCATGTACAGAACCGATCTTAAGCCTTTCATTACCATTGATGTTCTGCCTTCCTTGACTGAATGACAGATAAAAGCTTGTTTCTCATGTGGCTCCCCTTGATTGATGGCTGTGTGACTCTGCCCTGCTGCTGTGGCAGTTCCTCCCCCCTCCCCATTCCCTGGTATTTGTTTTTTGGAGGTGTATTTAAGGCTCTTAGTTTGACCTTTCCAAGGACCACAGGTGGTGGAGGTCTTCTACTCTAACAAAGCACTGAGAATCCAATCCTGTAGGCGCGGTTGGTGAGAGTAGTGGTGCTGGCAACAGGTCCTTCTTGTGTTTATAAACTGTACTTGAACCCAGATAAAGTTTGTTACTCTACAGTTTTTTGCCAAAACAAATAAAATATTCCTGAAGGCTTTTTTTTTTTTTTTTTTACGTCTGCTGTTTCTGCACAGTGATGGAGTGGATCACTGTGCCTGTGCACACTGTTCTCACTTCCTTCCTTTCATACAGCTCACCAGTTAGTTGCAACTGCCTTCAGGTTTCAGAAACATATTTCAACTAAACCAAGAAGCTGCAACCACCTGCTCTTGTTCTGTTCTCAAAGTTTCAGTGGACTGCATTCTCCCAGAGCAGGGGGGCCTTTTAAAGGCAGGCTACAATAGACAGGACAGGCCCACTTCTACTTCCTCCCTGGGATCAGGTTTGGCTCCTGATTTTAATTTTATTATAGTAAGTAGATCTTAATTTCCTAGCTTCTTATGAAATCTGCAGCTTACAAAAATCCTTATCCCCCTCCCACAAGCCTGGACAGGGACTGAATCGATGGTACTGACAGCAAGAAAAAATACAGTACCAGTCAGCATAAAACCTTTGGGACTGAGTGACGGTTTAGAGGAGATGGGTTTCCTCACAGAAGAGGGATGATTCAAGAGGCATGCTGCCCATTGAAGTTCTAAGCCTCTCTTGAATTCTCCTAGGAACCAAGAGGCAGGCAAAAAGACAGGAGGGAATACACTGAGCTATAATAAATTGCAAATAACTGCAGCACTCTAGCCTGCTTTTCCATGAGTTAGCATCTTTGGGGTGAAGGATGAACTTGATGCAAGCTAGTATTTCTCATCTGCTTCCGTGCTCAAAGGTTACAGACTTAAATTAACTTAAGAGATAACACAGCAGAAGGAAGCAAGCAGAATCAGTGCAAGCACCTTGGTCAAAAAAAGAAGTTACGAAGAAAGTGAATGTAGTCTTCAACACCTCCTTCCCCAGGCACACACAGAGGCAAGTGTTGGGGGTCCTGCTGGCGGCGTGGTGGTAGCAGACGGTTTTACTCGGCCATAATTCTTTTGAATCTGACCTTACCTATTGTCTTGTGCCTTCACAGAGCAGCAAAGGGGGAGTCTGGCGGTCAGGAACTGTTTTAGTAGCTGCTGGTTGGATACACAAGCACTGGCTACTGCTGCTGGCCCCAAGACAATCGCTGTGAGCTTTTTTTATTTCCCCCTTCATGAAAGCTTTATTCAGGTAGACACAAAACAGGGTGCTCTGCTATTGTGGATCCTCTCCATGGTCTGAATGCTGCTGCTCTGCCTCCTCTTCTTCCTCCCCTTTGTGTTTTTCCAATTTTGCCATGAGCTCTGAAAAACAGGAATAGGCAGGGTGAGGGTGCAGGGGCTGTCCCACACCAAAGCCAGGTGCCCAGGTCCATCTCTGCAAGAACTGGGGCAGCTACCAAAAATCACTGCCTACACAAAGGCTCAGCTAGGTGCTACCACCGCTTGCCGAGTCCAAGGCATCAGATGTTACAGTCATAGAATCCATTAGTGCATTACTGACCTGCCAACTACAGCACCAGATAAGCTGCTGCCCCTACTCCCACAGCACATCCCCCCTACCCTCACCAGAAGTCAAGCTCCCCATCTAGGCAAGTACAGATGCTTGTTCTGTGCCTACACAGCCACCTAGGCTCTGATCTAGTGGCTCCCGGCACTAAAGCAAGCTCTGTCGGCAGCTCAGAGCTGTGAGCTCCAGCTTAGGGTCAGGCCCAACACCCAGAAGATACCTCAGGAGCTGGTGCCTTTGCTGCTCCAGATGCTGCCATTAAAAGCCCGCTCTCCCACAGGTGCCCATTACCTTTTGCTGGGTTGAAGACTCCACTGGTTTGCTTGTCACAGACATAGCAGCGCTGGGATTTGCGATAGTGTTGGAGGGCACAACTTTCACAGAAGTAGTGCCTACACCTGTATGGAGACACAGATGCCACTGCAAGTCACCAGATACAATCGCTGTGTCCAGGAGTTAGAAGTTATTGACTGCCAGTCCCCAGGGGATGCAAAAGTGACCAGCATGCAGAGCTTCTGCTGCAGCATTGTCCCCATGAATCAGCATTGCTTCACTGATGTGGTATGGTGGCACAGAGCCACCAGGGAGCTCTTCCAGACACCAGGTACCCAGCAAGACAGCCAGCAGTGTGGGAGAGGGCTGGCAGCACACGATGTCCATGCTGCCCCCAGCCTGCTCTTCATCCTTGGCAAGCTCCTGGCTTCCCTATGCTTCCATTTCTCTGCTCACACAATGCAGCATGCCATTCAGTGTCCAGGAGGAATGAAGGCATGAAAACAAAATGTCAAGGTTAAGGGGAAAGATGATGTACTGAGGCAGGATCTGCGGAAATCTAGAAGGTGCTTGGACAACAAAGGCTTGAGATCCCTTCCAGGGAGATGCTCCAGATGCAGTTATGAGACTCCCTGGTTATCAGAGGATTAGCTTAGGGTCAGGCCCAACACCAAGAAGATACCTCAGGAGCTGGTGCCTTTGCTGCTCCAGATGCTGCCATTAAAAGCCCGCTCTCCCACAGGTGCCCATTACCTTTTGCTGGGTTGAAGACTCCACTGGTTTGCTTGTCACAGACATAGCAGCGCTGGGATTTGCGATAGTGTTGGAGGGCACAACTTTCACAGAAGTAGTGCCTACACCTGTATGGAGACACAGATGCCACTGCAAGTCACCAGATACAATCGCTGTGTCCAGGAGTTAGAAGTTATTGACTGCCAGTCCCCAGGGGATGCAAAAGTGACCAGCATGCAGAGCTTCTGCTGCAGCATTGTCCCCATGAATCAGCATTGCTTCACTGATGTGGTATGGTGGCACAGAGCCACCAGGGAGCTCTTCCAGACACCAGGTACCCAGCAAGACAGCCAGCAGTGTGGGAGAGGGCTGGCAGCACACGATGTCCATGCTGCCCCCAGCCTGCTCTTCATCCTTGGCAAGCTCCTGGCTTCCCTATGCTTCCATTTCTCTGCTCACACAATGCAGCATGCCATTCAGTGTCCAGGAGGAATGAAGGCATGAAAACAAAATGTCAAGGTTAAGGGGAAAGATGATGTACTGAGGCAGGATCTGCGGAAATCTAGAAGGTGCTTGGACAACAAAGGCTTGAGATCCCTTCCAGGGAGATGCTCCAGATGCAGTTATGAGACTCCCTGGTTATCAGAGGATTTCCCCACCTACCAGAAAGCCATGGCAGACAACAAGCAGGTTCCACCCACCAGCCTGTGGGCAGTGTTTGTATTTGCCTCAACAGTGAATGATTAGTGATCTAGATCGGCAGCAGACACTTAGCTCCTCATGCCAGAATAACCACTTACTTGGTGACCACAGGGTTCTTGAAGGAACTTCTGCAGATGAAGCATTTGAAGGGCATGTCCTCCTCATCACTGCTCACCTCATAGTTTTCCTCATCTGCAGAAGAGAAAGTCAACCAGACTGGAGCAAGAGCAGAGGCAGCCAGCCAAGCCCATGCATAGGGCATGAAATACTAAATACGGAGGGAGCACAGCAGGTGGGATTAAATCTCTGGTGGAAACAATAGAGCTCTGGCATCTGGCTGTCACTGATGTCAGTAACACATGTGGGACTGAGATATAATTAGGTCTAATGAGCCAGCATGCTTGTTGCTCATCTCACAAGAACAAATTCTTTTCTACCTCACCCACTCACTGCTATAAAAAGACATAGCCTCCAGCCCCCTCCTATTTTTTTAGCTTTTCTTCCAAACCAGCTGCCACCAATGTCTTTGCCTCCAACTGAACAGAGAACGCCCTCTTCCCCACAACTGCACAGTGGTTCACAAGCAACACTCGTGAGCTTTGGGCTGCAGCTATGGACCCTGTGGGTGAGAAATAATGATGTGATGTAGCATGAAAGCATCCCGCCTCCTGGGCATCTGGGGGGCAGGAGATGTTCACATCTCCCCAGCTCCACACAGCTTGCTGCTGGGACCCATACAACAGCAGTGCTATCCTTTTATAGAGAGAGGAAATAATTCTCTCTGGTGGCAGTCAGTCGTTCAAAAACCAGATTTACTCAGCACTGTCAGTGGTTACTGGCCCTAAGGTCATCCTGCAGCAGGGAGTTCCACAGCTTTGGAATAAAGAGTCCTTTCTGTCTAATATTAATTCAACCCATGGCCCATGCAGTTTGGGATAGCAAAGGACCCGTTTCATTCTTGGTGATCCAATATCCCTAGGTCATGTTCACTTTAGGGCACGATAAAAGGCAGGACCTGGTAGCCTCATCCACCTTTAGGGAGAGAAAGAGCAGAGGGATGGTGCCATACCATTGACTCCGTACCGGCCTTCATCCAGTTCCCGTTCGATCTGCCAGCCATGCTTGTAGTCCGAGCGGTCATGGAGGAATTTGCAGCTGTCTGAGCAGCACAAAGAAAGAGGAATTAACAGCTAGGCTGTGCAAGGTAGAGTGCTAACAGGACACCTCATTCAAGGGCAGCCTGAACTTTGCCCAGGTGGTGAAACCTGATTGCTTCCCCACCTGCCTGTGCTCCAGGGCAGTGCCAAGCTCCTGGAGCAAGCACAGAATCCCTCTCAGGGTTGACAGGCTGCAAGGATTATGTTCTGTGTGCCCCAGCGACAGCTGCAGCATTTACACACACGGGAAGTGGGATAAGGAACAGGATATCCCATCCCTCACGTGGCCTCAGTGGCCAGAATACCCATGGGAATGTGGGTCACTGGAACATCCCAGGTGTCCCTCCCAGGACTCAAGCACCGATCAGAGGCCATCAGCTTTCAGAAGAGCCACCACAAATGACAAGAACCTTACATAAAACAACTTTGCAACAGCATCACACACCAGCTCTGCAAACAGTAAGCGCACATCTTAGCACCACAAACACAGGATCATAAGCTGAACTGGATCCCTTTGCAGATCTGGCACAGCATGTGTTCAGCTGTAGGCAAGATCCACTCACCTCCAAAGCCACAGAACCCAGTTTCTTTGTAGTCCTTGCAGATGTCAGGCTGGTAGTCCCATCGCACCGTGGCCCGCAAGTGCTCTGGAGCACGGATGGGTCCTTTTCTGAAAGGGCAGGAGAAGGCTCAGGCCAGCTGCATGGCTGCAGTGGAGAAGGCCCCTGGGGGCCTGGTCAGAACCAGACACTGGACTTGTTAGGCGGAAATGAGCTGGCAGTAACAGCAAAGTTCAAGCCCCAAACGGGTGCCTTTGGGGATGGTGCCTGAGCTCTGTGGTCCCAGTCCTCCGAGACTCATCCCAACCTACCTGACCATTCCTGAAGAGGCGTTTCCCATTGATGTGTCCTTGGGCTTCACATACTTCTGGTAGTTGTTAATACCACGGTAAATTTTATCATCTTCCTTTCCTCTCAGCTCCTAGGAAAGCAAAAAGAAAGGTGATTAAGGATCAGGAAAGCTTCATGACAGATTAGCTTTCACCACTCTGACACCAGTGTCCCTTCCCAACCCTGCCTTCCTTAATACGAAGACACCAATAAAGCCACCAAATTCCCCTATTTGCTTGACTTCTCAAATTTCCCAGGAGGAGGAGACTCAAACTCTTCTTGGTGTGCAGAAGGGAATGAGTAGAGCACATGTACTCCTGCTGTAGAACGCTAGCTCTTTACAGACCAAGGCTGACTCACCTCCTGGATTTTCTGGCTGCGCTCAAAGATGGCCTGGGCATCTTTCTCCTTCTCCGTGTCCAGTTCATACACTGCTGTGGCTCCCATGTCTTCTGGGCCAACAGGTTTCTGAAAAGCCAGAAGAACTTGTGACAACAGTGAAGAGAAAACCTGTACAAGACAGAGAGCCCCTTGGCTACCTGGAGGGTCGGTTACAGAGCAAGTACTGGACATGGCCTGCTTTACCTTCTACCAGTTTTTGCCTTCCCTTAGCATTTGCCAGGGAAAAATCCCCTATGGGCTGGATCCAGCCTAGCGCTTGCAGGAAACACTTGTCCTTACTTTACTCCTTGACATTCAGCCTCAGCTTAGCTGGAAGCTGAACTCAGGTCTCCCATGTCCAACACTGCAATCATGAGACCATCCCACCTACATGCAGGATGTTATGGCTGAACTTTTAACCCAGCTGAGGGTGGCTTACATTCAGTTTTAACACAGTGGTCTGGTTTAGATTCCTCTTTAATGGACTGAACAGACACCTACTCCTAGGTTTTATCAGATCTTCAGGAACAGCTGCCCAGAAACCAAAGAATAATTAAAGCCAACCTCAATTAATACCAAATCCAATCTATGTGCCAAAAGCTTCTGGAGCCCCAAAGCAGTCATCTTGTCCTGCTTCCTTCCCATTCTCCTACAGCAAGCAGGGCTAACAATATGCTGCCCCCCCTTGGCCGCAGCCAAAGAGGTGAATAATTACAGCACGAGGATATATTCACATTATCTCTAATGTGACAAGGAGACCTCGGTCTGACCCTGAAGCTTTGACTGGGGACAGTTAGGCATTACGCCCATTTTATACAGAGGCATGGACAATGAGGGAAGAGGTCTGAAGAACAACACATGTTGATTCCTGCTTTTAATCCTACTTATATTCTGCCCAGGCTCGCACTAATGGGTGAAACTTCACTGGAATCAAGAGGAGAGTTAAGAGAAAAATCCAGTGGGATGAGCAATTTGAGCTGTGCCCAAACCTTCACAGCTGATTTCTCTCCGCTCCAGATGTTAACAGGACACCCAGGACACCCCACCCATCAATCCCAAGAAAACAATGGCCTCTCTCTGTAGCACTTACCCCATCACTAATCACAAGAATAAAGATCAGAGCACCTTCTAAGTCACCTTGAATTCTTTGTGGAGGAAGATGGTCTAAAACTGAAAACATGAACCTAACAGCAGGGCAAACCTGATTCAAGTGCTCCCTCTCCTGAAAATTTTGTGCGAAGTTGGGCAAGTCCAGTGGCATCTTGGGGTTTTAATTCTCATCTCTTAAGAGGGAAAGGCCAACCTTAAATGGCCTCCTGAGGATGCAGGGGGTATCAGGAGAACAAACATAGCACAAGGTGCTTGTCTGTTAAGAGGGAAGGGAGAGGGAGGACCATTTATACATAAAAAAGGAATGACTGAGCCCACAGTCGCAGAGGCAAATTCTCTCTATCAAATGCAGGATCTGCCAGTCCCACCTGACCTTGCACCCCATAACCACATTCTTGCCTAGTCCTTACCGCCGACCTTGTCGACTTGTAAGTGACTCCGATCTCCTTTGATGGATCCTCCTCATCACTGCTGCTCAGCGCATACGCAGGCCTCTCCTTCACACATCTCCTCGTCTGAGGGGCAATAAGATAACAAGTATGAAGGACAGAAGGCTCCAACACTGTGTCTAGCTTGAGCTTGGCAGACCACTGCAGATGCACCTCAAACGAAGCAGTGCCTTACTGTGGCTCCCTTACCTTCTGGATCATGGGATTGGGGGTCTCCCGGCGCCGCTCCTTCCGCACCACTGTGCTGCCCTCTTCACCGCTGCTCTCTGAGGTAAAACCCAGGGGTAAGAGCGCACCGGGGGACAGGACCCCAGCCCAAATGCAGGCTCTGCTGGCAGCCTCCTGCAGGCTGGGGACACCCGCGGGCGGTGGCACAGCCGGGGAGAAGCCCCTCACCCCCTCCACCACACGGACATCGGTACGGCTGGGGAGAGCAGCGAGGCCCCTCCATGTAGAAGCAGTGCTCCGGGGCAGCACCCAGCCCTCCGCCTCCCCAGAGCATGGTAACGGCCCGGCTCCGAAC